TATATATAGAGTACAGGCTACAGGCTCTGACATCACGTTCTCATTGACGTATTATGATTGCACTCAGTTAGCATGGTTCATAGTAAGTAGACTACATAAGGGCCCAGTCAATGGTATTATGATTGAACTCAGTTAACATGGTTCATAGTACGTAGACAGCATCCGGCCTCAGCCGGCTCATAGGTAGTGCCCCTACACCTGCAGTTCGGTACTGCCTGTCGTGCTATAGTTGTGCAGCTATCTGCCTCACACCGCCGGGATGGTCCTTCGTTCGGGTGATGTTCGGAACGACCTGAATCCTTGAGGCTAGTCTATTAGTAATTGGGTGGTATGCCGCGACGCACACACGTGTACGTAGTACCGAACTATTTTGCAAGAGACCAGCATGTCCGTTGCGTATAGTCAGAACTCCCAGAACCATCCATCTGCCTATACGTATAGCTCGCACTTGAATAAGGTGTGCCAAGGATAGAACATCTCACAACCGAGGCACTATCTATGCGTAAAGCTCACACTTGATCAAGGGGCGCGACTGATTAGCACAGGGGCTTGGAGGCTTCGTGATGGCGGTATCGATGGCGTTGCTCGTACTCTATGCTTTGCATCTCTACCAACCTGCACGTGTGCGGATGTGAGTCGAGACTATCGTAAGGACGACTTGCGATAGTAGTACAGTGTGGAAAGTGTGCTAGTAGTTCCCCGTGTATTCAATTTGAGGCCATAGACAGAAGTGGGGCCCAGGTTGAAGTTATTCGTAAACAGATAGGTAAAGCATTGATCGAGCCTGGAACAGGTATACTACATTCAAAATAAGCGTATGAAAGGGGCACTTGAGTCGCCTGTAGCGCTGGTAGCAGTGGTAGTACGGCACCACCGAGTGCATATTGCTCCACCGTCCAAAGCAGTCGCTTATGTTTGAAAGAGATATAGCAAAGGAGTTGTTCAATCTTCCCCGTTGTACCAGCGCAAGCTCTACACACATACGGTGGTTGCTATGCACGCTCCAAACAACATAGCAACGCGCAGCGAGAAACACGTCACTCACCTTGATAAGCACCGATGATACGCAAACTCCGTTTCCTTCCATCCAGCCTGGTCACCCAGCGATGCATCTACCAAACCGCTGAAAAAAAAGGTGTTGTAGAAAGATACAATATTCAGACATAAACGATAATTGGCTATACATTTGATGGAACATATACTGTCACCGGGCCATGACTGACTACAGCGGTAATACTTGAGAGGATATCTATAGAGTAAGGCTGTTTCAAGTCGGTTGATGCGGTGACTATAACACACACGAGTGACCAGCCTGCCTGTTCTGACTACCAGCACAAGCGGATTCAGTATAGACCGCGCACGCTTGTGCGTATTCGGCCTATTCCATGGCAGACCGCAGTACTGGGGCGTCTACACGGTATATCAAATACACACAGCCGATCATATCAGAGACCATACACCTGTACAACCACGCACGGACAGTGAAACATACGTTGCACTCCACTCCGTGTCGCCAAACATGGTGGTCGATCGCCCCGAAGATCCGCCCGTGCCAACTACGGACATGCCCTGCCTGGGTAAGGTTGCGCTGAAAGTCTTCCCTGCGATGATTATAGTGCGACATGTGCTCTCAGAGATGTGTGGGCGGTGTGTATGGTTCATTGTTTAAATTGCCAGACAGGCTTCTCTAGGCAACACTGAGCTAGAAGACTTCGTTGAATACGATGGTTTGGCTACGATTCGGTTCAGACGTGTGGACAAATCGTGTATATGGCGTAGGTTGACTATACTTATTGTAAATAAGGCCGCCGTAGCACAAAAGATACTGTAAAACAATATTGCCTGAGAAGCCAGTACTAGTTTTACCGTATGAATAGCCTTACAAGCATGACAACTACAACACCCGCAATTCAGCGGGGATAGTACACACCTTCCAATAGGGAATCGAACAGGCCCATAACAGACTTTTCATTGCTGGACAGGAATAGCATGCCCCGACACTCGTAGATGGTGTCGACCAGCACGATGAACCTTTAGCGGGAGATATAGGAAGAAGTATTGGGAATTTATACACCAACAGATGAGCAGTATGAAGAAAAAACTAAGACGATAAAGTTTTATTGCCAGGCTCAGACAAACATACGCCCTTGACGGGAATCTTGTAAAAGACATCACTCTCGATTAATCTAAACAAGTGTCTAGCAACTACAAAGAATACTACAATTAAGTAACGTGCGCAAAGCCACGTA